AGCAAAAGGGCTATCCAATCCAGGCCCAGGCCCTAAAATGCCTCCTTGGCTGACCTCTTACTCACCAGCTCCGTAGAATACCACCATGCCTGCAACCGTGAGCACTGGGTGCCAGTTGAACGTATAGGCGCTGCCATCCCAAGCAAAGCCGCCACACCAGAACTGCATCCAAAAGGCAGTGAAGAGGATGCACATCGAGCCCAGGGACCCCAGTACCAGGCAGGACAGGTAAAACCACCCTGAAGCCATTCTGATCAGGCACTCCTAGAAGAAGCGTAAGTCACAAGTCCCTGTTGGCACAGATACTCCCCAAGTACTGGCTAAAGGAAGTAACACTGACCTCCCTCTTGGCCCATGGGATAGAATCTTTTTGCTTTGGTGCTCCTGCAATCAGCTGAGCACTGTCCCCACGAGACCATGATGGCTATGTGGGCCAGATCTCTGGTTACAGACAATGAGTGAGGCCTCCCACCCCAACACCTGGCAGTCACAGAGCAGCAAGGTCAGGGCTATGGCTGGCCTTGGACTAGGCTAGATCCAAGGCCCTAGGAGCACAGCCCTGGGATTAGTCTCCCCTCAAGGTAAAGAATTAGCTCTCTAGGAAAGAAGGGATAGGAATCATAATCCAGGATGTATCACACAAATGTCCAGCCCCTGGGTTCTAACATAAGAAAGTAAAAATCACAGTCCCATAAGACAAACTATCACATTGGCAGAGAAGAAGTTCAATGGGCTCCTGCCTCTACAGAAAAGTTCTTCTCTGGATGGTGAACTCTGTGGGGTTAATCTTTAAGGGGGTGGGGGGTAAAATCAGGCCTTCACTCAAGACTCCTCACTGTAAACCCTGAGTATTGAGTGATACTCCTCAGCTGTCTCCAGGCCTGAGACTTCTGCTTTCTCTCCCTCTGGGGAAAGTCCAGAGAAGAAAAGAGGAAGCAAAAAGTCATGGTCTAGAAAGCAAGAAGTTTATTTTGAGATTTCCACACATACTTAATAAACTCTGAAACTGATTCTGGTTTCAGGCACAGCAAATGTTTAAGCCCCTAAGGAGTTGTTCTTAAAAGCCAGGTAAGTTGGCTTGGCACCCGTAGCTCAGTGAGTAGGGTGCTGGTCACAGACACCAATCCTGGCAGGTTTGAGCCCAACCCGGACCTGGTAAACAATGATAACTGCAACAAAAAAAAATAGCCAGGAGTTGTGGCAGGAACCTGTAGTCCCAGCTACTCGAGAGCTGAGGCAAGAGACTTGCTCAAGCCCAGGAGTTTGGGGTTGCTGTGAGTTGTAACGCCACAGCACTCTACCAAGAGCAGCGTAATGAGACCCTATCTCAAAAAAAAAAAAAAAGCCATGTAAGTGGGCAAAACCATAAGACTGGCCCATCTGTAGGCAGCATAGGCCTTGGCCTCGAGGCAGTCACCCTGTCCCATGGACTCATACCAAGAATGCAACAATGTGGTCTCCTGCAATTGAGGTCCCTCACTCTGAACCAGCTAACAGAGAAGAGTAACATCCAAGGAAATAAAACATGTGACTGCTTACCTTCAGTCCTAGTGGTAGGCTGACAGAATGGTGGCCTGGACTTCAAATATTACTAAATGGGCACCTTAAGCAAATCACTTAATGTCTGCAGAACTCCCAGTTCTCATCTGAAACAAAGGCACAGCAATGAAAAATACTATTTATTAAATACCAGGTATAGGCTGGGCACAGTGGCTCATGCCTATAATCCTAACACTCTGGGAGGCTGAAGCAGGTGGATTGCCTGAGCTCAGGAGTTCAAGACAAGCCTAAGGCTTGGTGCCTGTAGCTCAGCAGCTTGAGCACCAGCCACATACACCAGGGCTGATGGGTTTGAACCCTGCCCGGGCCTGCCAAACAATGACAACAACAACAACAACAAAAATAGCCAGGCAATGTGGCAGGCACCTGTAGTCCCAGCTACTTGGGAGGCTGAGGCAAGAGAATCATTAAGCCCAGGAGTTTGAGGTTGGTATGAGCTGCAACACCACAGCACTTTATGGAGGGTGGGAGACTCTGCCAGAGCTAGAGTGAGACCCCGTCTCTAAAAATAGCCAGGTGCTATGGTGGGCACCTGTACTCCCAGCTACTTGGGAGGCTGAAGCAAGAGGATTACTTGAGCCCAAGAGTTTGAGTTTGCTGTGAAATCATAACTCACCAAAGGTGACAAAGAAAGACTGTCTCAAAAATAAACACCAGCTATGAGCACTAGAACCTTCCAGACATGATACCCCTGACAACTCTGTGAGGATTATTATCCCTATTTCATAAATGAAGACACTAAACTCAGCAAGATTAAGTAACTAGTATCAGGACCCAGTAAGTAGGCAGGGAGATTCAAACTCTTATCTGTTTGGCTTCAACACCCATGATTTTTCCTTGACAACAGGTTGTCCGAAAATCAAGGAACAGCCAATATTGTCACTCTTTTTAGGTACTGCCATCACAGTATTTTATCCTAACTACTAACAAAAACCTGAAGCTCATGGTCCCCACGCCTGCTCAGACCTCTCAGTATCCCTGAGCAATGAATGCCATACCACTACACCTCTCCCCATGTTGGGCTATCATAAGGTGACGCAAATTATCAGTAATCTCTGAAAAAGAAAAATACAAGCTTCCATGAGGCTGGCTGGAGACAATCATGCCACTAGCTTGACAGACACTTCGTTATTCAACTACTCAGCTCAGAAATTACCCAGCCTTGACATTCCTCCCACCCAATTCTTCCAAGGACAGAGGAAGTTTCACGTCACCAGATATTCAGCTAAAACACCCTCCACTCCCAGTGAAATGTTAAGTTAGCATTAAGGAGCTCTTGCTCAGCAGGCTCCATCCGTCTGACAACATCTACAACTATATTTTCTTCATAAAAGGAACAGTAAATATAGTCCCAAAGGGATTGTATCCACACTCCTAGAAAAGGTCTTGGACTGCTGTTTGTGACAGACTTACAGTAGATGATAAGGACACTTTCCTGACAGAGGGCCATAAAGTTTTACTGCTCTCCTCACAATACATACCTCAGCCCTGCCTATTACTGAAATAAAGAGCAGAGCAGGGGGAAAGGAAGAACGCAGTGAAGACTGCAATGCAAATGCTGAGAATATCCTCTTTTTTTGTTAAGAACACAGGCTTAGCTATGATTTCAGGATGTGCTCACCAAGGTTTGGTCTCCTGTTCTGCCCTCATTTCACAGATTCCTATTCTAAGGTGGGGGACCTCAGACTCTTCTGTAAAGGACCACATAGTAAATAAAGGTTTTGTAGGACACATGGTTTCTGTCATAACTCTGCTGATGCTACAAGACTAGCAATAGACAGTATCTTAAAAATGAGTATGGCTGTGTTCCAATGATGTTTTATTTATGAACACTGAAATCTGAGTTTCACATAATTTTCATGTCACGAAGTATTATCCTCTTCATTTTTAATCATTCAATCACATAAACACTGCTCCGGTGGGACGCATTTGGCCTGTGGGCTGTGGTTTGTTGATCCTGATCCTACTCTCCAGCCTAGTACTCTCAATTCCTAGGCAAAAAGGATTATCCTGGGCTGAGCTAAAACAGGTCAGGCCCAGGGGAAATGGGTATTTCCTGTTCAGCCCTAAGACTTAGAAAGAAGTTCTATTCCAAATTACTTCAATGTTGCTTTTATAATTTACAATTGCAAATAAATTAAGGGGAAGGAAATAGTATGTTGGCCCCTTTTTTCAAATGGATTGGGGGTGAGGGACTTTAAGAATCCTGAAAACAGACTTATGGTACAAATGTTGAACCCTTATCTTATCGATCAAAAACTACTAACACTGAGGCCCAAAGAAGGAAAGTGACTCAGTCAAGGTGAGTGTCAAAGCTATTGCGAGAATTCTGGTCCTACTCCACTTGACCTCCGAGGACTCATTTCCAAATGTAGTCTCTGTTCAAGTCAGAACTCAGGAATGAGGGGCCCAAACATTCCAGCCAGGAGATAGGTAAGCAAGGACTTCCTGAGGACCAGGGTGATTCCGGACCCATCCTTCTGATTATGATCAGGTCTGGCTGGCTCAGGTATAACAACAAGAACCCTTCCAGTTACCCGGGGGCGGATCCCTGACCCTTCAGCTGGGCGCTTGGTGTTAGCTAACATTGGGAGAAAACTGGGGAAGGGGCTCCTCCTGCTTTCTGCACCTTCCGAAGAGCTTTTGTACATTTATAACCACCACCTTGGAAGGAAGGGTGCGGAGGACGGTACCCACTTCCTAAAAGAGAAAACTGAGGCCAAGCGAGAGGATCTCAACAGCGCGAAGCGAGGGAGCAGCGGAGCCAGCATTCAAACCCAAGTCCGTGAACTCCCAGCCACGGGCTCCTTCTCACCCCTAACCACGGTGGGACGCAGCGAGGCCGGGGCCTCCGGGATCCGCCTCTCGCCACCCAGCGCCCTAACTGCCGCTCCCGAGGATCACCGGAGATGGAGAATGACTCTCGAGCATCTACAGGCAGGTGGCGCCGCCGCTCAAAGCAGAACTGGTGGCAACACCTCACGCCTTTATAAGCTCGCCGCATTTCCGGTAGCGCGCGAGGCCGGTTGGGAAATGGAGTCCGGAGCCTCGGGCTCGCCAGCTCCCACGGCGCCAAGGTGCTGGCTCTCCGCGCCGGTTCCTCCATGGGCATTTCTTCCCCAAGTCCGGAGTCGAGGCCCAGGGAGTGCCAAGACGCGTCTACCCTATCCCTCAACCCTCATCCAGAGGAAGCGGAAATGTTCGTGTTGACGTGAGGTTTCCCGCCCGGAGCCGGCCCTCGCAAAGGCTCCGCGCAGCGTGGGCAGGAGGCCTCGGTCAGCAGGCGGCGACGCTAAGAAGCCCACAATCCCACGCACCCGACAGAACGAAGGCCCCAAAATCGCGTCCCAGTCAGCAGGCACGGTGTAGACGTAGCCCGCGTCTAGCGCCTACTTCCGGGATTTAAAGCCGACTTCCGGAAGCCGGGACGGCGTCCCCATGACAACCGACGTTGGGTCTTGGAGGTGAGAGCGGTTGTGGAGTGTGGAGGAATGGGTATAGGGGCAAGAAGTGAGATTTTTTGTTGCTGTTGTTTTGGGTTTGGGTTTTGTTGCCAGGCCAACTCCATTTACAGTGGATTGGGAAGTGTGAGGAATACTGCTGTGAGTTCACAGGGAAGGCGGCAGGTAGCGGTGCGCGAACTGTGAGGCGGCTTCATTACCTTACAAATCACAACTGCTCTACACCGGAGGAGGTGATCGACCGTGCAGCGAGCGCCGTCCAGTTCTGTATAACGGATCCTCACAGCAGCGCTCGGTGGTGGCCTCTGCAGCCGTGGTTATGAGCACGGGGTTGGCGTGACAGCTAGTAAGGAATCGTGGCTCTGCTCACCTGCGACCTGGAGAAATGACTTGAATTCTGACCCTTGTGTCCTTGCTTCTAAAATGGGATAATTCCCACCTTGCAGCGTTGTTGGAAGCTTAAAGGAAATGATGTTTATTGACAAGTTTATCCATGGTGTTGGTACCTAGCGGATAGCTGTCCATATTATTTAATGAATGAGGAAACTTCTCGGACTCACAATAGCCACGTTCCCCCCACGTTGGTGGACTTCTCCTCCAAGTGAGGTGGATGAGGTGCCTTAACCTCTCAGAGCCTAAGATGGTTGTAGGATTAAGTAAGTTTGTAAATATAAAGAGAGTTTGTAAATTGTAAAACATCTTACAGTTGTTAATTTAAATACTCTCTAACAATCCAAAGTATTTTGAAAAAAATTTAATTTCAAAATATTATGGGGGTACAAACATTTTGTTTACATAGTTTGCTTTTGTATATTTTAAGTCAAAGTTATAAATGTGACTGCATTTTGAAATTTTTGTGTAGATTTGATTCAGCTGCAGGATCACAGGACACCCTAAGTGTGAATCTGGGAATCTGTGAAAATAAAGATCCCGCTCTCTTCACCCGGTGCCACTGTGTAGCTACCATAACCTTAAACCTTAAGAGTTTTATAGGAGAGCAGTATCCCTTCTCAGCCTTTTCTGCCTATACCACTTCCCACTTCTGTGCTGACATTTTTCCTGCCTAGTGACCTATCAGCCTATCAGTTATCTAAGAGGCAACTGGATCTGAATCCCAGCCCTGCCATTTAATACCATTTAATATGTGACTTTGGACAAATTATTTTAGCTCTTTGGGCCTAATTTTTTCATCTATAAAATGGGAAAAGTAATATAAACTCAAACTTAGGAGGTTACTGTGAGACTTAAGTCATATTACTGTTTAAGACAGTCCCTGGCACATTGTAAGTGATGTATAAAGGTTTGTTGCTGTTATTACTACTATTACTACTACTGCATGACCAAGCACTCTTCTCTGTAATACCACTAAATTCCTTTGGTTAGAAAGAGCTTTGCGGGTGGCGCCTGTGGCACAGTGAGTAGGGTGCTGGCCCCATATACCAAGAGTGGCAGGTTCAAACCTGGCCCCGGCCAAACTGCAGCAAAAAAATAGCCAGGCAGTATGGTGGGCACCTGTGGTCCCAGCTACTCGGGAGGCTAAGGCAAAAGAATCGCCTGAACCCAGGAGTTGGAAGTTGCTGTAAGCTGTGACGCTATGGCACTCTACCGAGGGCAATAAAATGAGACTCTGTCTCTAAAAAAAATAAATAAAAGAAAAGAAAAAGAGCGAGCTTTGCATTTAGAAGGTTCCAGGCATGGAGAAAGATTTGAGGTTAAACGCCCCTAGAAGAAATGATTTGTTGGGCTTTTTTGGTTATTGGTTTTGTTTACCACACTATCCCAAGCACCTGGAGTGGTACCTGGGTGCATACTAAGTTCTCAGCAAATGTTTATTGTATTAATAAATTTCTAACCTTACCTTTCTTTTTGTCCCAACAGGCCTTTGCCTTAGAGCAGGGAATAGCTCTGATTCAGAGGAACCAGAAGCCACTCCCCTGGTGGTGGGGAGAGAACCAGGAGCTATTTTCTAGGGAACTGTGGAATGTGCTCTTGGGGGCCCAGGAAAATAAAAGGAAGATGCTCCAGACCAGTAACTATAGCCTGGTGCTTTCCCTACAGTTCCTGCTACTGTCTTATGACCTCTTTGTCAATTCCTTCTCTGAGCTGCTTCGAATGGCTCCTGTCATCCAGCTGGTGCTTTTCATGTGAGTTCCGTGGGTAGCTCTGAACCCAAGCTCTTTGAAGGCCCTGACAGTCGTGACTTAGCATTATAAATTTGGTAGACATGAGTCAGAAACAATAAAAGTTAACATTGTCCTGGGCTTGCCAGGGTACATAGATATGGTCACTGGTCCTGTTTTCATATACTTCTAACAAGGGTTGGGGATAAGGGGAGCAGTTTAATATAGAAAATGAGGGGGTCAGACTGCTGACCCCCTCAGTCTGACCCCCTCATTTTTTCCATCTGTAAGTAGAATTATTATCATTGCCTTGAAAGAGTATTACAAAATGATAGATTAAAAGGAAAAGAAACTCCATACACACACACATACACAAGTAAACATTCATACAGAGGGTACCCCAAAAATGTATACACATTTTAAGAAAGGAAAAAGCTATTAAATTTGTAGTATTCAAGTCACGTTTAACTTCTGTAAATGTAAGAGGTGCTCAACATGACTTATATTCATCTTTTGTCATTGGCACATATTGAGTATTATAATTTTAATACAGTTTTTTCATTTCTTTTTTTTTTTTTTTTTTTTTTTTTTTGAGACAGAGCCTCAAGCTATCCCCCTGGGTAGAGTGCCATGGCATCATGCTCACAGCAACCTCCAACTCCTGGGCTCAAGCGAGTCTCCTGCCTCAGCCTCCCAAGTAGCTGGGACTACAGGCGCCCGCCACAGTGCCCGGCCATTTTTGGTTGCAGCCATCGTTGTTTGGCGGGCCGGGGCTGGGGATTCGAACCCGCCACCTTAGGTGTATGTGGCTGGCGCCTTAGCCGCTTGAGCCACAGGCGCCGAGCCAGTTTTTTCATTTCTTAAAATGTGTATACATTTTTTTGGCACTGTGTGTGTTTTAATTGGAGATAAGATCTCGCTCTGTCACCTAAGCTGTAGTGCAGTAACGTGATCATAGTGCATAGGACGGCAAGTGTTAACATTTATCTTCCACAATTAGTTACAGATTATGAGGCAATGTCCAAGCTGAAAACCACAGTCTTGGACATGATCTTCCTTCATTCAGCAAATATTCAGTGGCCTGCCAGCCAGTGTTCTAGCTGCAGTGGCAAAGCTAACAAGTTCCTGTGCTCTTGGGGTTTCCATTCTAATGGAGAGGAACAATGAATACATAAAGAAAAATAAGATAATTTTAAATAGTGATGTCATACACTGGATATAGAGTGGCTGAAGTAGAGAGAGGAGAGATCCTTTAGGTTGTAGAGTTAAAGGAAAGTCTTTCTCAAGAGGGGACATTTGAACTGAGTCTTGAGTGGCACAAAGGCACTAGCTATGCAAAGATCAGGGCAAGTACATTGTTATCGTGGTAGATGGCATTGTCTGACAGGACCCTGTTGTGTGATAGACAGAGCTGGCATTTTCTGGACATAGGAAAGAAACTACCTTCTCAAAAGTGCCTACTTGGCTTATTGAGTTGAATGTCAGAGCAGGAAAGACTTGTCTATGGACTGCACCTCAGCTGATAGGGCCAGTGGATAATTTCAGCTTCATGTTATTTGGGTCTCAAAACCAATGCTATCTCTGTGGGGGTTTCAGATGACTATTTCAGAGGGAAGGTCTGACCCATGGACTTAGGACCTCCATTTATCTGTATTTTGTTTTCTGTGTCTGCAGCATCCAGGATATTGCAGTCCTCTTCAACATTATCATCATTTTTCTAATGTTCTTCAACACCTTCGTCTTCCAGGCTGGCCTGGTCAACCTCCTGTTCCATAAGTTCAAAGGGACCATCATCCTAACAGCTGTGTACTTAGCTCTCAGCATTTCCCTTCATGTTTGGGTCATGGTAAGAGTAGAATTCTGAGTTCCTGAATCTTTAAAGGGTTAAAAATAGCTTTTCTCTGGGAACCCAGCATCATTCTTTTATAACTCACACAATCCTTAATGGGAAACAAGTGAAATGAAAGTGGCCCAAGGTGGAGCACTAGGAATGTGAGAGTTTCATGAAGCACTTTTGCCCAACATTATAAGTCTTTTTTGGGGGGTGGGGGGTGGGAGACAGTCTTACATTGTCACCCTTGGTGACACGTCATAGCTTACAGCAACCTCAAACTCTTGGTATCAAGCAATCCTTTGGCCTCAGCCTCATGAGTGGCTGGGACTACAGGTGCCCACCACAATGCCCAGGTATTTTTTAGAGATGGGTCTTGCTCTTGCTCAGGCTGTCCTCCAACTCCTGAGCGCCAACTGTGATCCACCCACCTCGTCCTACCAGAGTACTAGAATTACAGGCATGAGCCACTGCACCCAGCCCCAACATGTGTTGAATAACAGCCTTACCCAAGAGTTGAGGAACTCTTCTGGAACACTTAGTTCACCTTGCTCTAAACAGGCCTACCAAGGTTAAAACAGGTAGTTGAATCTGTTTTATCATTAGCTATTTGGGCAGGCAAGTGTTGATATCAGGTATTCTTAAGCATCAGTGTCCCATGGCTAATGAATTAGACTATGGATGTTTCTAGAAAATAGCCAAGCAAGGGGACTGCTTACCCTTGAATGCACCATGCTTTTGGCTGGGTTCCCATCACATAACTAGAAAAACCAACCTCCAAGATGCCTCTCTTTGGTTCTAACATAGGCCCTCAGATTAGATCCAGTTTTCATGGTTTCAGATTTCTCCCATTTGACAAATTCTTCCATCTCTTTGAGTATCCCACGTGTTTCTCATGTACTCATTTTGATGGGACATATTAAAATCTCAGTATTCTCCAGTCACTTAATTTTAATATTTTAATGTTTTTAGAGATGGGGGTCTCACTGTGTTGCCCAGGTCAGACAGAATACAGTGGCTATTGATAGGCAGGATCATAGTTTGCTATAGCCTTGAACTCCTGGCCTCAAGCAATCCTCCTATCTCAGCTTCTCAAATAGCTGGGATATAGGCATACACTACTGTATCAGCCCTAATCACTTTTTTTTAAAGCCCCCTTTTCAACCAAACCTGCTGTAGGTTTCCTTTATGATTGCACAGAGAAAATTAGAGCTCCCTACAAAAGAAGCAGAGCAATGCCAAAATCTATCTCTCGGTGCTTCCGGAAAAAGATGTGCTTTGGTTCCTAGAGCCAAAATAGGTGCTGGCTTTGTACTATAAAGCTGTTAATCTGATTAAACTATAAGTGCAAGAGAGCCTTTATCTGACAGGAGCTGAGCCTGAGATTTTCAAGGCGAGACAGTGACCAGCTGAACTATACAAATATATCATTTCTCCTTGGCAAAGGCTATAAAATGAAAGGCGATAAATAGCTTAGTTAACATTTCCTCCTTCAGGGTTAAAAGTGTATTCCCTTACAGCAGAAAACGGAGCCTGAGGCTCCTTTGAGAAACATTTCTTGGGGTGAGATAGCATGATTTTAGACCAAGTGGCATCTCTGCAGCTAACCAAGTTGGGAGATTTTAGGGCCTCAAGTGTCTAGTAAATTTTCTCTGTCATATCTCCTTCAGAATTTACGGTGGAAAAACTCCAACAGCTTTGTTTGGACAGATGGACTTCAAACACTGTTTGTATTCCAAAGACTAGGTAAGGACCAGAGCATCAAGCCTCACTGGGTCCCACAAATATCTCTGGCAGAGAAGGCCTTGATCCTGGCTTCCCAGTTCTGTCATGGCTGGCTAGGGATAGTTGGGACAGCCACACCAAGAACAGGAGGGATTACTGCCCTCTGCCCTTGCCGGGAGACCATGGGAAATCATGAGGCAGGCCCCTCAGCCTTGTTAGGTTCTGTTCTTCTCCAGAAACAAATGTTTAGCACATCCCTACAACTTCTTTTCTGCTTTTTATCCACAGCGGCAGTACTATACTGTTACTTCTACAAACGGACAGCTATGAGACTAGGCGACCCTCGCTTCTACCAGGACTCTTTATGGCTGCGCAAAGAGTTTATGCAAGTCCGAAGGTGACCTCTTCTTGTCACACAGATGGATGCCTTTCTTTCCTGATAGAAGTTACGTTGCTGCTGTGCTGGGAGGCTTTTCCTTATGCACCAGGAAGCAGCTGAATTTTCCTAGGAGACCACAGGCCAATTACGTTCAGCATTCAAGAAGGGAGATCCTCAGTTAAAGCGTTCCCTAACAGATTCCAATACATAATCCATCAGTCGCCTCTCACCTCAGTTCTACCCACTTTCCTTCCTTTCCTGCTCCATACTGTTCATTCTCTCTGACCTTTCTTTCTTAAAGCAGGCTCTGTGGCTCTTACCCTTATGAAGCTTTTCATTTAGACTGAGACAGGAGGATCTCCAGCCCCCACTTTCCTTGTACTAGAACGAGTGACTGAAGGATGTGACAAGTGGTAGGTGTGTGCTTCTGACTGATCACACTTTAGACATTTATACTTTATACCCGAGGTACTCTTTTTTTTACATTTTATAAATAGGAAATAAATTTCTTTTTTCCATAAATGGTGGAGTCTGTCGGTCTAGCTAGATCTCATCATAATTAGGAGGCATGCCAAGTCCTGGCTTCATCCTTTACTTGACCCATGATCAGATTGAGCCACAGATTGAATACAGATATTTATTGAATCTCATTATGAGTATAAGGGTTTTTTGCAGAAATTCAAGATATATTCTGAACTCCCACCCCCCTCAGCCCTGGAGTTCCAGACCAATATGCTTCATTCAGACTCTTCCTATCAGAAGCCTAAACTGCCTTCAAAAGGGTAAAAATATTCTTTAGCCTGTTTTGGCAAAAGAAACTTCTAAGATTCATATGCCCAGAGCATCAGTTTTCTTTTTTCTTTTCTTTTCTTTTTTTTTTTTTGAGATAAAGTCTCACTACATTGCCCTCGGTAGAGTGCTGTGGCATCCCAGCTCACAGCAACCTCAAACTCTTGGGCTTGGGCGGCGCCTGTGGCTCAGTGAGTAGGGTGCTAGCACCATAGACCGAGGATGGCGGGTTCAAACCTGGCCCTGGCCAAACTACAACAAAAAATAGCCAGGCATTGTGGTAGGCGCCTGTGGTCCCAGCTATTCGGGAGGCCGAGGCAAGAGAATCACCTAAGCCCAGCAGCTGGCACTCTACAGAGGGCAACAAAGTGAAACTCTGTCTCTAAAAAAAAAAACTATTGGGCTTAAGTAATTCTCTTGCCTTAGCCTCCCAAATAGCTGGGACTATAGGCGCCCACAACTATGCCCAGCTATTTTTTGGTTGGAGTTGTCATTTAGCAGGCCCGGGCTGGACTCGAACCTGCCAGCCTTGGTGTATGTGGCTGGTGCCCTACTCACTAAGCTACGGGCACCGAGCCTCTTTTTTCTTTTTAGTATCAGTTTTCTATTGTCAGAAATGTGTAACGTTTCTAGTGCTTAACAGACCACCATCAAACTTCAGGGACATACAATAAACAGTTACTTGGCTCTTAAATCTTAGGTTTCAGCTGATCTAGACTGGGTTTGAGTGATTTCAACCAGGCTTGCTCATGTGTCTGGTCAGCTGTGGGTCAGGAAGGCAACTGTGATGATCTTGGGATCCTTTGGCCCTTGGCTAACTCAGCATGACCTTAGCTGGAAAAGCCAGGGTTCCTCTGTCACATGGTTGACCCTCCAACCCACTTGCCTAAGATCTGTCCACATGACAGTGGCAGAGGAGAGAACAAACCCCAGTGTGAGATCCCATTTCAAGCCTCTGCTTGGCTTGTGTCTCTTACTGTGCTATTGGTCAAAGTAAGTCATGTGATCGAGCCCACTGTCAAAGTGAGAAAGTGTCACAAAGTTTCAAGGCCAAAGGGATGGATGCTAGAAAGGCAAAGAATGGGGACCATTAATTCAATGAGGTCCATCATACCAGAGTTTCTCTATAAAATGTGTTATTCAGAGACGCTTTGGCACAGACGTTGGCTAGCTTTTTCAGTGAAGAGCCAGACTGTAAATATTTTTAATTTTCATGGCACAATTTATGTAACTCTGACATTAAAGGATGAAAGCACCCATAGATGATATAATGCATAAATGATGTAAATGAATGAACATAGGTATGTCTATTTTCACTGAAATTTGAGTTTCATATGATGTTCTATGTCACAAAATGTTCTTATGAGTTTTTTAATCACATAAAAATGGGCTCGGCACCTGTCAAGTGGCTAAGGCGCCAGCCACATACACCTAAGGTGGCAGGTTCGAATCCCCAGCCTGGGCCCGCCAAACAACAATAATGGCTGCAACCAAAAAATAGCCAGGCGTTGTGGCGGGCGCCTGTGATCCCAGCT